TTCATTTTTTTTAAAAGATAATCAATGTGTTGCTAAAAAGGGGAACACACTGCATATCTCCACCATACTAAAAAAATATCTGAAGTTTTTCTGTAATGTGGAAGTTGGTATATAGTCTTTATCAATGATGAGATATTACTCCGTTCATTTTAAAATAAATTATATTGGAAATCCTAGAAGATATAAAGTAAATACTCCTTCCGTTTCACAAAGAATGACCTGGTTTGACTTGGCACGGAGTTTAAGTAAATAAAGAAGACTTTTGAATCTTGTGGTCCTAAATAAAAGTTATGTCAGATGTACAAAATTGCCCTTAATCTCGTGGTCTTAAACATGCCACGTGGTAACTGACTAAAATGTTTACTCACAAAGCAAAAAGTAAAATGTTACCAAAAAAGAAAATAGGTCATTCTTTGTGAAACGGAGGGAGTAGTAATTTATACGAGATAATATCTCATATGGTCACTCAACTTTCAATAGTTCACTTAGAAAGTCACTCAACTATTGATATTTTACTTAAAAAGTCACCCAACCAATTTAAATAATTTTTTCATTAAATTTTGTTAAATACAATTTTTGTTTTTAACTGTTATTTTTAACAGAAACATGCTCATTTTAATTATTTTATTAAATTTTGTCGAATACAATTTTTTTAAAACTGTTTTTTTTTTAAAATAATAAAAGATTGTTATATGCTACTGTGCGTTTTTTTTAATTACTTCCGTTCAATTCCAATCTTCTTCTTTTTTGGATCATTTTTCAGCATATTTAATTCGTCTATGCTGAATTGCTGAAGTACGTTTTTTTTTTTAAAAAAAAGTTAAATAATTGGAGTGAGTCATGAATAAGATAAATAAAATAGACATTTTATTATTTGTTAAAAAAAATAGTTTAAAATAAAAATTAGATTTCAATAGTTTATTGAATAAATTATTTAAATTTGTTGGATGACTTTCTAAGTGAAATATCAATAGTTGAGTGACTTTTGAGTTATAAACAAAATTGAGTGACTTTCCAAGTGAATAACTCAAAGTTGAGTGACTTTCTAAGTGAACTATTCAAAGTTGAGTGACCATTTGAGATATTATCTCTAATTTATACCTTCAATATGGAAATATATATTACACCAATGCAAATAAAACGTCTTAAAACGGATTGAAATTAAAAATTATATTGGGCTCAATTTTAAAAAAAAATATTCAAATGGATTGAGATTGATCCAATTTAAATTATTTTGAGCTCAACCCTAAAATTCTGAGCAGATTAGACAAACTACCTACATTTAAGCTAAGCTTATTTAAGACACTCCTATTTTGTCAATCAAGTTGCAAGTTTATTTGACTTGTTTGAAAGACTTTCTGAACTTTTCTATTAAAAAGCACATATAACACAACGTTGAAATTGTAGTGAAATTAACTTAAGTCCTTGAGGAAACTTCTTTGACATTATTATACTCATGAATAGAAAAATGTAAATAATATTTACGTGGTACTTACTTTGAAATTGTTAGCACTTTTACATCTTGATGTTAATACGTTTCTCACGTAAAATTGGCATTTCATGTAACATCTTGAGTAAGTTAATATATATGTGGCCAAAATCTTCTTCTTCTTTTTTCTGTTAACGGAAAAGCAAAAGCTTTCGAAATATAGCAATATTTTTCTTTCAAAAGTATTACATATCGAGAGTGGAGTTACTCCAATTATTGTCTATACATGATTGGATTATTGACATACCCTTTCAAATTTTAGTGGCTGAAATTTGATCTAGTTTATGCACTATTACATTGTGATAAAATAAAAAACACTTCTCAAAAGTTGTATATGAAGTGCATATTGTTTTAATGAATATAGCTCATAGATTTTATTGTATAATGTCAGACAAACAATTTGAACAATAAACCTTTAAAAAAATAGTATAGTATACGAGATAAACATAACCTACTAAATAAAGGTACAGTAAAGAATGAAAATTGAATTATTAAATAATAAATAAACACAGAATGAGAAGAAAGATATTAAGGCATTGGTATAAACCAATCAAATTGATCGTTACACAAAATGAGATTTTTTAACATTATACATTCCGCTGATTTAAAGACAAGATACAATAGAAGCTAAAGTAACAATCAAAACACGATACAATAGAAGCTAAAGTAACAATCAAAACAAACATGAATATTTAAACTAACAATACGTACAATCATCTCAGATCTTCTGCATGCAAAATTCTCCTAAAATGCCATGCTTATTTGCACCCATAAGGTTTATTTCTTCTTTAATCAGTGCTTGTTGATGAATTCTGCAATGGCTTCAAAAAGCTTCTCAGTTGCAGAGCCAGTAACAGGGTCCATATCAACAGCAATTTTGTTCAGGTAAAAACTGTGTCCCACGCCATTGTTTATCAACAGTTCAACATCTTTTTCCCCTTTTTTCAATGCTTCGTAAAATTCCATTTCAGTGTCTTTTATCAGATCCTTCTCCGCTACACAGTAAAAATAAGGCGGCAATTTAAGCTCCTCCACCGCCGGCGCAGCATCACCCATCGGACAACTGATCGGGTGATCCTTCGTGCTACCAATCGGTAAAGCAAGTTCCATAAATTTATCCACCATATCTAAGGTTAGAAAGGGGGTTTGTTCCTGTTCTAGCTCCGATTTGCTTCGCTGGGACCGCATGAAGCCTGGATGGATCGGAATTGCGCCGGCGAGCCTCATCGGAGATAAGTCTTCTTCTCCGGCTCTGGCGGCGACTTGATGGACGATGTTGCCGCCGGAGCTGTCTCCGATGAGGAATACGCGGTTGAAATCGGCGTATTCGTTGAGCCAGGGCTCGTGACCTTGCTTCCGGGAAACGTCACGGAGCCAGAGAAGGCCGGCGAAGCTGGCATCACAGGCGGCAGGGAGGCGGTGCTCCGGCGCCAGAGGGAGGAAGACGGAGACAATAATAGCGTTAGCCACACGCGCTAAGCGAGTGTAGACAGCATAGTACATGTACCAATCAGCTTGGCTGATGCAAAAACCGCCGCCGTGGAAGTGAAGAATGACGGGAAGCTTATCAACCGAACTATCATTACGTTCAGGTAAGTAGATACGGAAACGACTACCGGAGTTCTCCCCGGCGACTACATCTTTGACGGCAACGCCGTCAATGAAGTCGTCATGCGGTGGAACTGGCTCAGCCATGAACTTGACTTCGGGTGGACCGGTCCATGTCCGGTCTACTGAACCGTCGTCAAAAACTGTAAGCCAACCGGAAACTACATCCTTAACTTGCTTATCATGAACCATTTTAGGAATTTTAAAAAAGTGGAAAAGGAAGTTTTATTTTTTCTTGGGTATACTATTAATTTGCATGAATATGGGTGTATTTATAATAGTGAAAAAAAGGGTAGTTGTTGAAAGGAAGATACAAAGAGTTTTACAAAAATTTGGACTTTAGATAGTGGGAAGAGTAAAGGCATTGACAGATCATTTTCTACACAATTTCCTAAGTGGGTCATTCCACTTATAGATTTTCGTCCACATTTACAAACTGGAATATAAGAAAGACTTTGTTAAGATCCAAATAATAGGACGTTATAACGAGAGTTACTCTCTCTGTCCAACAATACTTATTTAATGTATTAAAAATAGTTGTTTAATGATACGTGTTTACTTTATGAAGTTCATTGATAATTTTACACTTACTTCCTAATTTACTCTTATCATTAATTATAGACATTTTCTCATTATATTTTTCAAGATATTTTATTTATTATATTTAAAGGGTGATATGATAAAATTATCCTTCTATTTATAGTTTCTTAAAGGGTGTGTGATGTGTTAAGTCAATAATGGATAAATTAGATAATACAGAAAAATATTCTAAGAGAATCATAATTTTTTTATATGATTTTAATCACTTAACCTATATATGAAGATCAATATAAATGAAAGTATAAAATCTACTAAAAAAAAAGAATAAATAAGGAAAAATTTATTTTCCGTCAAGAAAACATTTTTAAAGTAAGACAGAAATGTTAGTGCAAACCCTTACCAAACTTTGACCAGAGCATTTTAAATGTATGTAAAAAGAATAAATCACATTGATAAAGAATACGGGGAGTTTAAAGTTTTCTAAAAGTGCAAAAATTCGATGGAAAATACGTTTGACCTACAAAAGTTTACTTATGAACGCAAGCTGATTTATTATGCCTCTATTCTTAATTATTTGTCCACTTTTAAATTGATATATTCATCCGTTCTTATTTATATGTCATCATTTTAGATTTCACGTGCATCAAGAAATTAAGTAAGTTTATTATTCTATCCTTTTCTTTTTTTTGAAGTCAAGTTCTCAATCAATAACTATGAATTAATTTATTTTGATTAATTAATTTGCCCAATGAACATGAATTATTTATTTAGTCTTTCTATGTTAGTCAAATGTATATTCTCAAGGCTAATAACTCATAAGGGTAAAATAGGGAGAATATTGTAAATTATGCATTAATTTTATGAAATGATAAATATTATGGACCAACTATTTTGTAATACGTATGACATATAAAAAGGAACAGAGGGAGTACCTATTAAAAAAAAGATAATGATTGATATAATAAGTTTACTATTTTACCCTATGAATTATGAAGTGGATGAATTAAAAATCTAAGACTTTCAAGAAGTTCTTCTACCTTTGTCAAAATTAATTAATTGAGAATATAATAGATAAAAAAAATTGATCTTTCTTGATTTGTCAAAATGAACCGTTAAAAAGGTATAAGTAAAAAAAAAATTGAACAGATAATTAGAGACAGAGAAAGTATTAGATGTCATTCACTTCAACTAATTTGATATTACTCCTAGTTTCTTTTATTTTAATTTGTTTATCTTAATTAATATTTGAACAATCAATGAATATTTTTTTATCATAATTTTTCAAAAGATTTAGAATTATTAAACTATTGTAAGTTATACGTAGTAATTTTTTTTATAATTTATAAAATATATAAATTTTATTTCAGAAAATTAAAAAATTTACGTCAAACATCAATTGATTTGTCCTTCATAGTCTGAATCAAGTCAAATAAATTGGAACTGTCCACATATATGAGTTATGAATAACGTTGGATTTGAAAAAGGGGAAAAAACAATAAACTGGTTGTTATGATGTTGTGAACTGGGAAGAAAGTCTTTAGCTTCTTTTCTTTTTTTGGTTATTTATTTAAAAGCTGATAACACATGGAAGGAGATAAAGGTAATTTCACCGACGGGTAGTCTGCTTGCACATCACATTTTGCAACATTTTCACATACACCCAAATGTATGTCTATTACATATTCACATAAATTATGTCACCCTATTTAGTTGTACCCATGAGCATCAATTGAAACATACCTACAATATTACATCTTATGGGGGCTAATGCATATAGTAAAATGAGGTGATATATTTTAAATAGTTAACCATCTACATAAGTAGACACTTGACAATATGTGCATAATAGGAACACTCTACATGTCCACATACTCTATCAGAATATGTTATAGTTCGAGTGTCTAAAAAAAGTTCACTATCAAGTTTAAGAGATTATTGATGTATTCATCCTATTAGTAGTGCAAAAATTAATTAATATATGATTTAATTATTCCAACTTCTACCTTGCACAAAATTATTTACAAATTGACTCATAATTTACTCATGTTTTCTTGTAGAATTGTAAAATGATAACCGAACATCAAAGTTTATATCAAACAACTAAAGAGCTAAACATGATATAAGCTACGCTAACTTCTTTTAATGCATGAATAACTTCCTTCCTAACAAGCAACAAAACAACCAATGAGAAAAATGATCAAAACTATCCCTCAAGTCTAAGGGTTTGTTTTAACTTTGTCCCTGTAATATCACAATGAACATAAATACCCTTTTTAAGTTTGCAAAACAAGGACACTCTTGGTGCCCAAAAGAAAGTTTGTAAAATTTTACCTAATGGATTTAATATGATGACCTTAAATGAAGGGTTGTTCATCAAAAGGGCTATTTGACTAATCCTATAGTTATCTGCCTACAGCTCTGGAAGTCACACCAACACAGTGAACTACACGAGATGCATTGTTTGTGCTGCACAAAAGGTTGCCTTCTATCATTAGACAAACAAAATCTCTGTACTAAGGTGCAACCCCATATCCAGAAAGGGTCCACACATCTGTATGCTTCTTGGACACAAGAAAACCAACAAAACGAGACCTGTGTAAAAGAAAATAATATCAATCTAGGTGAAACTTGACAATAATACAAGGACAAGAAAAAGGATAATCAAGGCATAATACATAAACGTGTCTTTTAACTTGGTCTTAGCTGACATCTATGCTCTCCAACTTTTGGGTGTACACAAGTAGGAAATTAAACTTGTATATGGAACAAAGTAGACACGTGTGTCCTACCTAGCAATTTGTGTCCTGCGTGTATTTTTCCATGTAGGATACGTGTGGTTACTTGTTCAGCTCTATAAATTTAAGTATCTACTTGTGCACAACCAAAGTTAGAGGGTCTAGATATCAACTGAGGCTTTAGTTAAAGAACACTAAAAAAGTGGATTAAACTTACGTTAGATCCTATACAGAGTTCTTAATAGGGTTCTTCAACTTGCTATTAAGCTGTTCAATTTCTGCTGCTTGTTCCTTGCAACAAGAAAATCATAGACTTAGAAAGGACAGGCAGAAAACAGCAACAATCTGGAGAGGGTAGAAAAGGAATGACGGGGAATAAACACTTCATAATCACCTGACGTAAAGCTTTCCACCACAGGCTTGATTGTTCCTGTAGTACACGCCATTCAACCGCCAACTCATGTTCTATTGTGTTACTCTGGGCATAGTGAGATGTTGATACTGCTTTTCTCTTTACAAGAAAGAAATTGGAATATGAAAATTGGATCATCAAATAGCAAATTAAGGGAGAGGAGGTTATTTGTGTGCAGTTAAATGCGTACCATTTCTTCTCCTAGCTTTTGAAATTTGAGTTTTCCAATGGACAGATGGCCAGGAAAGTCTTTACTTTTCACTTGGTCCTGTATAGTTCCCTTCCGAGCAACAACTGGCCTTAACAAGACATAAACAACAATGCCATTATCTCCGTCATCTTAATTATTTCTCATATTTCATTCATCTTATTCCAATAAAATAGTAGTATTCACAAAAGTTCATCCAAGATAATGTCAAATAGAGATCACCGATAAGAATCCCAAGCCACTATCATGACTGAGATTTACATCATTTTTCTTTCCAGTAAGAAGCACAGGCCACTATCATGAATGAGATTTACATCATTTTTCTTTCTCCCTCTATAGTGAGCAGATTTGGAGGGTTATTGGAAGGAAATAGAGTAGTATAGAAGAGATTCATGGCGCATCAAGCTAACTCAACGAAAGCTTGTTTGAAAAGGTATTCACCCTAATCATTTCTCTTTATGAAAAAAATCCAGTGCCATGAGATGGTTGAGTATAAATAACATATATGACATCTACCATGATGACCATCAGGAGGAATTACATAGACAAAGCTGACAGTATTAATTATCGAAATTAACAGCTTCTCGATAATTCTCTAAAACATAAAAGGTAATATCACACCATCATAATCAGTGTTTTCAAAGGTACGATGGGATTTTGTAGAAGAAATGCTAAATGGATATGGATTACCTCCAAAGTTCATACAGTTGGTTATGGTCCATGTCACAACAACCAAATTTTCAGTGAAGGTTGGTGGGGACACTCATGATTATTTTGAAGGCGGGGGCTGAGACAAGGGGATCCTATCTCTCCCTTACTCTTTGCGCTAGTAATGGAGTACCTGTCTAGAACCACGACTCAAATGCGTAAGCTGACTGATTTTAGATTCCATCCCATGTGTAAGGGGCAACAGTTGACTCTCCTCATATTTGCTAATGACTTGATGATTTTCCATAAAGGAAATGTGGTATCTGTACAAAGTGTTATGGAGGCCTTCCAACATTTCTCTAATACAACTGGACTAGTGGCTTAACATAGATGAATCTAGTCTGTTTATGGCTGGTGTAGATGAGAATACTTAAGGGGAAATTCTCAACCTAACTGGTTTCACCTTGGGATCATTTCCAATAATGTACTTGGTCCTTCCTCTCTCCCAAAAAGTGGAACAAATTGGAGTGTCACCAACTAAAGATGAAAATTACAGACAAGATCAGGGAGATCAGGGCTGTCTCCACAAGACACTTATCTTATGCTGGTAAGCCTCGTGTTATTGATTCTATACTGTTCACCACTTCACCTTACATAATTTTTCAGGGGGCTGTATTAATATTTTCCCAATCGCATTAAAGTAGGTAGACAAGAAGTGTAGGGAGTTTCTTTGGTGGGGTACTGATGAAAAGAAAAAACTATCACTTGTGGCTTGGGATAAGCTATGTCAACCAAAGAAGTATGAAGGTCTGAATTGTCGGATGTGGAATATGGCTGCATTGGGAAAACTTATATGGATGGTGAATAAGAAAAAAGATCTATTATGGATAAAATGGGTGAATGGTATATATATGAAAGGAGGAGATGATTTCTGCTACTGGAAAAAGCTTCATAAACTGAAGCTGAAGATGACAAGCTGGTATAGAGATGATCATTATTGTAACTGCTAACAGGAAATAATTTGTCTCAAAGGGGTACTGTGCTGCCACCTGCACCAAGAATGTATACTGCTGACTTAATATGGAGTAGAATTACAATGCACAAACATAGGTTTATATTGTGATTAGCTGGCTCTTGGGAGATTACTCACAAAGGATAGACAGCTGATGATGGGCATTCAGTGTGATAACCACATGTGTGTGATGTGTGAAGATATGTTAGAGAGAGGTTAGATATGTTTCAATACACAAAAAGAGGCAGGAAGTGTGCTTCTTGATTTAATACAGACAATTTGTAATTAGCTGGTTGATTTTGGAGGCCTACTGATTATAGGCAATCTTCCTAGAAGGGGGTCGAGATAATGGGTGCTCTTTAGGTGTAACTTTTTGATTGTTGGTATGGCAATATTTCACAGTTTACTACCAAAAAAAACTAAATCAGTATTTTCAAAGGCATTTTGTAGGCGATTCATGGGGCAAGCCATGGAGCTAGGAGGGCTATATCGCACAAGAACGGATTGGCAGAGGAAAACTATCGTGGTTCATAAGTTCTAACCTCCTGAGCATTAACTTAAGCGTAGGTTTCAATCTTCCGGATGTTCATTTGGGGGGTAAGTTCAGAGAACTTCCCAAACTTAAAATCAAAATTGCAAGTTCTCTTTATTACTTAAAACACTCAGACGTTAGCTAATTGTAAATTCTCAAACTAAAAAGAAAAAACTCAAAAGTCAAAGTCTCCTCTTAATTGTTATCCCTAATTTCATATTTCTTTGTCATTTACAGAGCAACCAATCATTCTTTGGCTCTTCATCAGCAAAGTGCAAACTACAAAGCAAAAGCTTTGTCTTCAAATGCTTGTGAATTCCTTTTTTTATGCTTCATTTCCTTCAATTCCTTTTTACTCTCTTGTATTCTTTTCAAGTTAGGTATTGATTTTGGAATTCATTTTGATATCACTCTAATTTAGATACTACTTTGGGAGGTTTTATTCTAAAAAATGTTCTATTTGTGTTATAATAGGTATTTGTGATTTGTTTTCTGGTTTTAGGTTTTCAAACAATAACTTTATACTATTGTCATTTTTATTTTTTTGAACTATTAGGAACTATCATTTTACAACTCCAAGTAGATCACCACCGGGCTATAGCTGTGATGCATCTTTCATCTTTCACTCTTACATTCATAAATATACACTAATTTTATAATTTTCTACAATTTAATGTAATTTTACTTTTTTGTGATTTATATACTTATTATATTAATTTATCAAAAACAAAAAATTAAATATTTATGGGGCTTACTCCTCACATCTCAAGGCTTACGTCTCGCCCCATGTTAAACAAAACGCCTTGCCTCAAGCCCTGCCTTTTAAAACATTACCAACTAACTCATGTCATCAAGGACTTTGAAGATCATTACACAAAGCATAGTTTGTCAAAAACGAATACTAACTAGCAAGGTGTATGTAAGAACAACACAAAAAAACATCTAATCAACAAGACAAACAAAGGGTGAGACAAAACTTGCCAAGCCAATCTAGTACCTTCCATCACCTAACATAAGGCACCTCCTTTTCAACTCAAAAATGGCGATCTCTGCAGCCTCGCTTGATTTGAAGATAAGAAATGCTTTTCCTGGTAGTGTTCATTTGAGAGAAAAAAACATCGAGTTCACTGAGAAAAATGTCAATAAATTTTACTTCAGGATTTTAGAAGAAGATACACGATGGCCTACCATTTAGGGGATTAGAGAAGGTGTTATGCTGCACCATTTTTGCACTAACCGTTTGCCTTAAGGCATGCTTAACAATATCCTAGAATATAGAGAATGAGAACTCAGAAAGATTAATGAGACAAGCTCTTCGAGTATAAAACTAGGAGCAAAAACAGTAAAGAATAATTCAAGAAGAAAACCCACCACAATATATATCAGAAGAAAAGTTTGTCTTGATATATCTATCTCTACCAAATAAAAGGACATACGAATATATTTGACGAGAGGCGTGAAAATTTTCTTGAATCAATTCGGATTCATGCCAGGATGCTCAACTATAGAAATCATTCATTTGGTAAGGAGGCTTGGTGGAGCAGTACATAGAGGACACACACATGGTATTCATTAACCTAGAAAAGGCTTACGACAAAGTTCCAAGGAAGGTTATATAGAGATACTTGGAGGCTAGAGCCTAGAGGTGTACCTGTTGTTGACCATATAATAAAATAATAAAAAGTATGCTCTCTCTAACAGCTTAAGATTTTAGATGAGATGGTTGTGAGAAATATATGGGAAAAATATTATTGAATTATTGTTCTAATTATTACATAGAGAACCCTATTTATAGACACTATATAATACAATTCCTTACCAAATAGGAGACTATAAACTATTCCTATTTTGTGTAGGATTGTGTTTACCTATTCTATTCTAACACTCCCCCTCAAGCTGGTGCATACAAATTATATGTACCTAGCTTGTTACAAATGTAATTAATACGAGGACCAATGAGGGACTTGGTGAAAATATCTGCAAGTTGATCATTTGACTTCACAAATTTGGCAATCAATCTCAACGTGCTCAATTTTATACTGAATTTGATGCATAATGCCAATAAAACACAGACCATAAAGTGACTTACACAATCGACATACAAGGCTACTAAACTCCCCTTGAGCAACAAAGTGCTCAAAATCTAGTATAAAGTATATGGATCATGTTGGAATCAATAGATGAGTCGATATTAAACAAGAAAGTCACTGAAAAATTGGTCAGAACATGCTCATACTCCAGTGTATTAGATTTGATGGCTGAAAGTGGTCATAATCTAAGAAATAAAATTATATAGGTAGGGTCGGAATGATAGCGTGACCCTACTGAAAAAGAAAAATTATACGGGTAGGGTTGGAATGATGGCACAACCCTACGCAAATCAGATTTGGGGAGTCACCGGAAAGACGAATGAAACTATGCAAATCAAATCTGAGGAGTCACTAAAAAAGACACATGATGCTATGCAACTCAGATATGAAAAAATAGTTCGAAAAAAGAATCCACGGTACTACACAAATTAATTATGAAAAGTAGTCCGGAGAGATGCACGGTGCTACGCAAATCAGATATGCAAAAAGAGGTAGTCACCGGAAGGATGACACGGTGCTACACTAATTATATATGAAAAAGTAGTCACTGAAATGATGGCACGGTGCTACACAAATCAGATATGATAAAGTGATTTCGGTGACACAATGCTACACAAACCAGATATGAAAAAGTAGTCACCAGAAAGATCGCACGGTGCTACACAAATTAAATACGAAAAAGTAGTCACCGGAATGATGGCACGATGCTACACAAATTA